TAAGTAAATCTAAAAAAAAAAACAACAAACAGCAATTAAGACTTAGTGGCACTGGTAAAAGGATAGGCTCAACTGAAAATAGCATAAATATTGTAGAAACATACCCACACAGATACACTCAATTGATTTTTGACAAAATGCAAGGGCAGTTAGATGGGGAGAAAATAGTCTTTTCAGCAAAAGTGCTGAAACTGAATATCTATTTTTCATCAAACAAAGAATAAAAGAACCTTATTTTATGCTTCAATAATATCCAAATATGAACACAAAATGGATCATAGGCCCAACTGTAAAATATAAAACCATTAAATTCTTAAGAGAAAACATCAGAGAAAGTCTTCATGAGCTTGGTTTTGGCAAAACATTCTTAGCACAGTCCAAAAAGAAAAAAACTAACAAATTAGAAATCACCAAATTATCATGCTTTCTCTATGAAGACAGAATTAGAAAATGAAAAGATAAGCCACCTGAGAAGAAAATATTACAATTCACATAATCTAATAAGGACTAGTATCTAGACTATATAAAGAACCCTCAAAGCTCAACAATTAAAAATAAACAAGCTTCATAAAGAAATAGGCAAAAGATCTGAACAGACACTTCACTGAAGGGGAGATACAGATGGCAAACAAACACATTAAAAGATGCTCAACATCATTAGTCATTAGAGAAATGCAAATTCAAACCACAATAAGACACAATTACACCTCTATTAGAATGACTACAATAAAAGATACTGACAAGTATCTTGTGAGAATGTGGAGCAACTGGAACTCTCACATTGTAGGTTGGAATACAAAATGGCACAGCCCCTCTGAAAACTGCAAGCAGTTTCTTATAAAGCGAAACATGATTTCCATCACATGGCTTAAAAAAAAAACAAAAAAAAAAACCCCACCTGTGATAACTTCCCTGAGAGAAATGAAAATTTATGTTGACATGAAAATCTCTACACAAGTATTATAAACTATGCTCGTCCTGATTTCTGCCATTATCTCATCAGGAAGGAACAGCTTTGCTCCAAAAGAAAATGTATAGGCCTTTGTGCAGTGTTCCTGGGAGAGACAGACCTGAACTGTCTGCAAGAAGGGCTTAGGGGGTAAGGGAGTGTCTCGAGCCAGACCCAGTAGGAGTGGGATTCCTGAGACCATGGGTGCCAAGAGCATATAAAACAACCTGAGGGTGCCTGGGAAGTCTGACAACCCAGCCTGGAGAAGTCAGTACTGCTTCCAAAGGGGTAACTAGGAGAGCTTGTACCACAGAAGCAACACCAATTTCACAAAGTAGGGAGTACTCAACTGTTAAGTGCCACAGTTTTCCAGTAAAATGACCAAAAGTGTCTACCAGGTTTGACAACTTGGGGGCAGAAGCCAGAGGGCTGTGGATTGGGGAGTCCATGGGGGACTCCCTCACAGTCCCTAGCTGTCAGCTCCATTGGTGGAGGAGTCAGAGGCCACCAGAGCTGGGCCAGTGACGGGCAGCCATGCTGGTCCTGAAAGGGACAAGAGAGAGCAGGATGAACTTAACACATGACTTAGAGAAACCACCAGCTGGGGATGTTGATCTGCCCCAGATGGCAGTACCACCTCCATGGAAGAGCAGCCCATTGCTCAGAGACAGGAGGAAAGTTTAGGCAGAGAAATGGCACATTTGCAAAGACTTGAAGATTTAGTCAAATTCCCCTCTTGTACTATATTTGTTTAGTGAAGGGATATGGAAGTGAAGGATCTGGTCCTTTTGTTGCAAATTCAACATTGATTGAGAAGTCACATATGTGAAACACTTTGCCCTGCCCTATTTATATGTATCACCTCATTTTAATCCTGCAACAACATGTGAGGTAGAGATAACTACATATGAGGAAACAGGGAGGCTGGCTTGCCCAAGAACACATAGCTTGATGAGTGGTAGGACTGGAATTTGTAGCTCCAGGTACTCTGATTCCAGTTCCAGTGCTCTCTCCACTGTAACTCAGTATAGTAAGAAGGAAATATTCAATAAGATACCCAGTTCCCACCTTATATGAAAGGTAAAGAACAGGTATCCTCTTTGTCCCATCCAGGGCAGGACCAAAGAGCAAGCCTGGTCTTCTCAGAGGACTGATCTAATAAAGCCTCCTGCCTGGCAGTCTGAGCAGCCTGTCTGAACAGCAAGGTGCCCTGTCCTCTGTGGGCTCATTATAAGACCAGTATGGAGTTGCTTCCTGGACTGGGTGGCAGGTTTCCAAGGAACAGGAAGCCAGAGCCGAGGAGGGAGGGAATGAGTGGCATGTGCCTCTCAGCCACCCTCCACCCACATGGAGGAGACCTGGAAGTGTCCTGGGGTGACAGATTGTCAAGGCATGGGAGGGCCTCCCAGAAACTGTCCACTTGTGATGGGTGTGGGGGGGATACGAGGGGGCCGCCTCCCACTCCTGACACACTGGTCCCTGGTTCTGGAAACTGCACCACCTAAAGCTGGTCATGCCACACTCCAAGGGGTATGCCCAGTCTTCCCTGGGGTCTTTCCCAGCCTGCCCCTCCCACCGCACAGCCCAGGGGGCAGATAGCCAATATGAGGTCACAGTAAAGAGGGCTCCACCAGACTTTGCAAAGCAGCTTTTAAAATCAGACGGTTTGGGGCCTCCGTGGTGGCGCAAGGGGTTAAGACGCAATCTATAAAGCTGTACGCAGCCTCTGCAACAGGAGTTTAATCCCCCAGGCAGCCAGGGAACAACCCACATGGCGCAGCAGCCCTCTCCTGACTCGCCCGCTACTCCCCTCAGCAGTGTACTTTGGTCAGTCTGCCTGTTCTGTTCCCCACTCTGTCTCTGGTGAATCCTCTCATCACCCCACCACACACACACACACCTCTGGCCTGTACCCCAGCTCTTGTATACATAAATAAATAAATCTTAAAAAAAATAAAATAAAATCAGACAGTCTGGATTCAAAGTCCAGGTCTGCCACTACTTAGGAGTGGGATTGTTTGGGAAAACTTATTTCATTTCTTTTTCCTGGCCTTTGTTTCCCCATCCATAAACTAGGATCATGATAATGCCCATTTCAGAGGGTTACTGTGCTTACGGGAGGTAATATACATCAGGTGTTTCACATGGCACCTGGCACATGGCAAACATCAAGTGCTAGGTATTGTTATCAGTATCCTCATTGGTACCACTGCAGGAGGCTCTCCACGTGCCTCTCTCAATGTCCTCCCATTGCATCAGGGCATTCGCGAAGCATTTATGGGAAACAAAAGCCACTGGGACTCGACCAAAGCCAGGAGGCAGATGGACGGGCAACCAGGCTGTAAGTGGTTGCTTCTCCAAAGAGCTGCCTTCTGCCCACCCCAACACACTCACTTGGCCCTTCTTCTCCCAGGGAAATTCCAAGGAATTCAGCAGTCTACAGTGTTGACAAAGTCAGAGAATGTGACTGGTATCTGGAGATGCCTATGATCCAGGGCCTAAAGGACAGTGTCACCAGCAACATGCCCACCACCACTGCCACCACCAAAACATACATGTGTGTCCTTGGGCATTCTGGACAATTTGGAAGTCCTATCATCTACCTGCCATGATTTTGTAGCCTCCATAAATGTCTAGCTAAGGACTGTGTTTGTTTTTTCCTACTTAGACACTACTTTTTCTCTACCTTACCTCTTTCCCAACATACTCATCTCTGCACCCCAGAAAATCAGTTTCTGCCCTAGGAAGGCCCGGAGAAGAGGGAAGGTGTTCGGTTTCTAAGGAGAAAGGAACACAAATGGCCTAAGGCCTAACTCACTGCCCCAGCGCCTGGCTTCTGGGTTATGACCAGCTTCCTCTGTGGGCAGAAGTAGCTGGTTGTCCCCTAAAATGTACTACCACAGAGAACTACATTTTCCAATCCCACTGCATTTAGGTGGTGCCAAGTGACAAGTTGACACCCACAAAATGTGAATGAAAATGACCCGCATCACTTCTGGGCCAGAGCAACTAAGATAAGGCGGTACTCTCTTCACATTTTCCTTCCTCTCTCCCCTGACCAGAAGCATACGACAAAGGCACAAGGTAGACCAAGTCCCTGGGATAGCAAGTGAAAGAAAACCCCCCACTAATCAAACATCCAGGTAGGTGGATGAGATGTAAACTCTGATTAGGATAAACCACTGAGATTGTGGTGAACTGTGGGGTCTATTCCAGTAGTGGTGTTTCTACTGTGAATACAGTAAGTCTGATACCAGCCCCTCACCAACCTTGTTGGAACAAGAGAAGAATCAAAGGAAGGACTTCCCCAGCACTGATATGGGAGACAAGCAAATATGTGAGATGTCAAGCAGCCAGGCCCATGGGAGCAGGCCTGCAGAATCCTGTGCTCGTGGTAACAGGCATGAGTGTATGGGTAGGGGTGCTGGGCTTCCTCAGTGGGTGCATAATGGTTGACGTCAGTATATTAAATGCAAAAAATGTACGTGCAGAGCAAGAAGGGACAGACATGTCAGAAGAAGTGAGTGGGACCACCCATCCAATTTTCTTAGAAATAGTTGAATAGCATTGGAGTTTCCACATAAACATGCTTCTTGCTGAACTGGCAAAGTTGGAGGTAGAAAAAGAGGAAGGGCAAAAGAACAGGTGCTGGAGTGCCCATCCCCTGCCCCCTGACTTGTGGAGATTCACTTACTTATTCTTTAAGAATAATTTCAAACCTCACCTCTTCTGTGAAGCCTTCCCTGATTTCTCCAGATATAGCTGGTTGTGGCTTCATCCTTGTTCCAAGCATTCCACTCTCTCACAGCTCCCATCACACAGGATCAAGTTCCTGAGGACGGAGTCCTGGTCTTTGTAGTTCCTGAGTCTGTTGTGAGTACCTGGCACAGAACATGCACTGACATGGTTGGTGAATGAACAGAAAGAACCCAAAGCAGAACCCAAAGCTGAGGAACTCAAACTGAGGATGCTTAGGCACCTGGGCAGGCAATCTCAATTTTTACTTTGGTACCAGTAAAACATACAATGACATTTTTTCAGTTTACACAACTTTTATTGCTAAACACCATTGCTGGGGACTGATGTGGACATAAATATTTTCCCTCCGCCTCCTGGCCCTGATGACATTTCCCAGTGTAACCAGCACCATCAGGCTCTGCCAGCCAACTGCAGCCTACAGTTTTAGGGTGATCTTTCTTGCAAGCAGCTACCTGCCTGGGCTATACTGATTTGCTTGGACCCTGCCAGTGAGAGTCATAGCACCACCAGAGAGGCCCAAGAAAGTGAGGAGAATGGAACTCAGGAGGAAGAGGTGCCCCAGAGCATAGGCTGGGGAAGGTCCAGATCTTCACTGGTTACTGAGGCCAGGTACGTGGAGGGTTCGTAGGAGCAGGGCAATGTAGGTCCAGTTTGGAGGGCCTCGGGACAGTGTCAGCTTTTTCTTCCTGGCAGTTTTCATGTCAATTGTCTTTTTTCTGGACCAACTGAGAAATCAAAAGGCAGAGAAGCCAAGAAGGAGCCCCACTGTACCAGGACAGTCCTGGCTATGAGGGATGTCTGTCCATCACGGTTGTCCCCAGCTCAGGGCCCAAGGAGGAGTCTATGTTCCCTCACACCCTGCTTCTAGCCCTTGCATGCAGCATAGCCATGGCTGTCTGTGCTGGATCTGCTGCCAGCCCCAATGAAGACTCACTGCCCTGAGTAGCTCCCAGAGACCCCTTCATCTGGTCCCTTGTGATCAGGTACATACTGTAGGCGCCAGGGTGGCACTGCTCCCTTGGAGTTCTGGGGCTGATTGATGCTAACTCACCAGGCTTCTGCAATTTTTGGAGAATCTTTAAGAATACATCTACTTCCATTTCTTGAATATAAAAATAAATTAAAATAAAATATGTCCCAAAGGCCTATGACCACCGAACAGCAAGTCCTCTTCACAGCGGCCAGCCTGGATAGCCGTGACACTGGCAGGAGGTCCGAGACAGGGCAGGATGCATGTGACATCAGCAGGAACAGCTTCCTGCAGGGATAGTCCAGGCACTCCAACGGGGCAAGGTGTCCATCCCTGGACAGAGTAGTATCACTGGGGCTGCCCGTGGTGCCCATTCCAGACTTGTCTCTGAGTCAGGATCAGAGAAGCAACAATTCCTGGTGTGAACTTCCAGGCCCTTCCTTGGGTTCTGTCTTCGCAATCTGTTATGAACACCCTTTAGAAACCTCCATGGTGGCCAAACTGTTATCTCCAGGTGATTTCCAGTCTGGGGTTTGGGAAGAAGTAACCGCTCCCCTGGTTTCTGAAGACCATGAGAGAGCAGCAAACACACATATACAAGCACACTCACACATACACACACACACACGTGTACATGCACAGAGGCAGCAGACAGTGGAGGTGGCAGTAATGAAGGTGCCTGGTGGCCTTTAGCCCAGAGGATGTTGCAAATGGCCCGGTCACTTTGGCAGAGTCTTTACAGCAGCCAGTGCTGGGAGGTGGGGGAGTTCGGCTGCTTAGGATTTCCGGAAGCGCACCTCACTCTGAGAAAGAAGACAGGGAGAACGGGGTGAGGGTGGGCTGCGTGGGCCAGGATCAAAGACCCCAAAAGTGGGTTTCAGAGACCAGTAATCAGCCCAGCTGTCAGCTGTCACTGTCCCCCAAGGAAGAGCCCCCGCCACAATGTTTTTCTGGAGCAGCCCATCTGAGCTCTCCACACTTCTGCCTTGGCCCTGGCAGAAAAGGAAAGGGCAGGCATAGCATTCCTGCTTTATGGCTGAGATGCAGCCCCAGGGAAGGCAGGGGCTGGGTTCACAGAGGTGGGGGTAGATCCTGTTTCCTGATGCCCAGTTCCCATGAGACCAACTTCCTGTCAAAGAAGAGAGGCCATTCCATCACTCAGCCGTCACTGGGGTAAAGAGAGTGACATTGGAGCCATCGTGCACCTAGGTCCACCCTTTTTCAACCCTCTGAGCTCTGCTCTGAGAAAGGAAAAAAGATCGAAGTACAGGTAACTGGCTTGACTCCAAGCCCAGTCTTCTGTATTTTCTGAAAACTTCTCCAAGTGAAGGGGAAGGGGCCTCTACTAAGACCCTAGGGAAAGCCTAGGCCCTCTTCCAGGTATCCAACATTTGGAAGTCCCCAGCTTGCTGGGTGCAGGGCCCCGGGCAAGGCTCTCACCTCCATCTTGCTGTAAATCCACGGGAGGACTTCTGTCACTTTGGTGTACACACCGGGCTTATTTCTCTGGCCACAGCCTGTGCCCCAGCTGGTGACTCCTGTCAGGTACCAGCGGTTGTTCTGCTCGCACACTAGGGGTCCTCCACTGTCTCCCTACAGGGAAGAGCAGGCACAACAGCAAGGTAGGAAAAGTGTCCTTGAGCAGGAAACATGGGCACTGATTCTCACTTCAACCCCAACACTCCCGCCTTCCCCGACTCCTCCAGATTTGCAACACCTGAGCCCCAGCCAGAAGCAGCCTAACCTGGCAGGAGTCTCTGCCTCCTCGCAGGTCCCCAGCACACATCATCCTGGGGGTAAGGTAGCTGTCATAGACCAGGTAGTCGTTGCACTTCTGGAAGTCAATGAGGCTGACCTGCACCTCCCGGAGGAAGGGGGATGTCTTCTCTTCAGTGAGGCAGAGGAGAGAAGAGTGGATGGGAAGGAAGAGAGACTCAGGACAGCTTTGTGGCCTGTTAGCTGCCCACCCCAGGACCCAGCCTCCCAGCATCTAGGAGTGGAGGGGACCATTCCTGGGGTTCACCACCCAGGACATAGGGCACATACACCCTTGCACCAGACACCTTTCAGGCTACCTTACATGTTGCACAAATATCACTCACTTGTTTTCAGTAACTATATGCCTTAAGGAGGGCAGGTCTTCCAAACCCATTTACTGATGGAGACCTTTAGGGCTGAAGAACTGATTTACCCACAGCCACATAGCTAGTCTGTTTTGGAATCAAGGTCAGAACTGCTACAAGACCAGTCGAAGACTGTCATCCCCACCCCTACCCCCATCATACTGGCACCTGCCCTTGGCCTGAGTCTACAGCTAGGTCAGCCAGGGATAGTGTTCTCCTGCCAAACTTCAACAATTCTATAGAGCAGGCATCAGACCAGGCCACTCTGTGGCCATGAGGAAGTGAGGCAAAGCAACACCACCGCATAATCTTGTTTAAGCACAGGCAAAAACAAGGTAAGTCACTATGCAAACCACAGAAAGACCAAGCCACCCCTCTCCCAGACAACAGGAGATGCTGTGTTTGCTTCACCCATTATTGCTTTAAACGCAGTCTATTCTGCACTTCTTTTAGAAGAGATTCTAAGACATCCACCCACAAAACTGCCCTGCTTCCAGAAAGCACCCAATCTAAAGAATTCTCCCCTTTTCTCACCCCTCCCAGCCTACCCAAATTCTGTGATAAGTCCTTCCTAACACCCTACCCCCACCCCATGGTTCTCCAAGGTGTGTATTCTCCCTACCCTCAAGTACAGAGCCCGTCATCTATATACACTGACACATACCCACACACTCCACACAGACACACATGTATACAGCATACCACATGCATGCTCATGCACACGCACACACACAGTCTAGCATCTCTGCTTCTCACCATCTGTTTCCTTGGTCTTGCCAAAGCCCGTAATCCAGCAAGTCTCGTTGAGGCTGAAGGTCTGCCCATGCATGGGGAGGCAGGCAGGGTGGATGTGAGCTGCAACAAGACCTCAAGACATCAGTGCAGGGACCAGGCTGGAGTTGTTGGTGGGTGCTGGGGATGGAGGGCAAGAGTACTGATGTCCCAGGACCCCCTCCTTTTTCCTACAGTGGTTCTGAATCTTCTAGGGCTTTGGATTGACCAGGGAACAATCTCAATCATTTATTCTGACCCTCTAATATTTGGTTGTTACTAAGGTTTGGTCCCACTGAACATTCTGATTTCAGGGGGTGTCATGGGAAGTTGCACATGCCTTGTAAGCACCTCAGTGCCAAGCTGATATAGGATAACTCTGGGTCTCTACCCACCCAGGGTGTCTCACCTAGCTGAGCCTCTTCCTCATCTGTCTATCAGAGAAAGGGGCAACAGCAGGCTAAGTCCCAGATATTATGGGATAATGCCTCACTAGTCTATCCAGTCTAGTTTGGGGAGGCACTCATTGGCTGGCCAGGGCCAGAGGCTCTCCCGCCAGAGTGAGACAACCTCTTCAAACAGGGAGAGCACATTTCTGGAGGCATAAAGCATAAACAGCTGCTCACTTGCTCAGAAACATTTAGAAGGTACTAGTGTACATCATTTTCCAAACTCCCTCTAAGGACTGGTGTCCCTAAATGGACTAAGGCATCAACTGCAATTTGCAAAAGGAAACTATTAGTTGACAGAATGTTCTCAATTGTTTGTTATGCTCACTATATTTTCCTGCACCTAGAATAGCGATTGATATATACAAGGTACTAACGGGGGGTGGGGGGGGGAGAGAATGAATATAAATTCTCTTATACATTGGGCTTTAAACATTGGTGTCTACCACACTCTGCTAGAGAGTAAACAAACAAAAATGAACAGGATAGCAACAAATAACAAAAACTGCAAAACATGACTTTTTAAAATAGCCTATGCCCATTTTTGATATATAATCTTAAAAACATGTAACAGTTATGTATTCTCTTTTCGATGGGGGAATTATATTTATCAGTGAGTCTTCACAAGTTTTTCCTCAGATAATACTGTGACTTCTATGTGTTCACCTTGCCAAATGAGTTCAAGAAAATCTGCCGTGATTTGTAAACCAAAATCAGACCCCATGGTCTGACGGCAGGACTACATAGACCTGAGGTGGGATTCCCAGGTTGGAGGCCTGCCTCCTGCTGGTGCCGATCAGGGTCTGGAGAGCAACCGCTAAGTCTGAGAAACCTATGCAATGTCAAAATAGCTTTCATTTATCAAATTATTTATTTTGATTTAGAGTTCCAAATAATGTTTGGACTATAATATTAAGGGGATCTAGGGGTAATGGGAGGTGAATCTCAGTGTTAAGCAAAATGGGATCTATGTTTCACAAGGTTGAGAAAGTCTATTCTGGCCCTGCACACCTCCTGAGCCTTTTCTGTATGCATGAAGGGCAAAGCAGAGGCAGGGGGACACCATTCACCTCACCAGGCTCCACAGCCAGGCTGGAGGAGAGTGGAGGTCTTGTCAGCTGGTGGGTGTGGTCCTGTTCCACCCAACCAAGTTCAACTGGGTGGGCGTGGCTATGGGTCAGCCCCGCCCAGTCAAACCCCTTGAAGGTTCCTCCTCCTCACTCCACTCTGATGAACTAACTGCTCTGATTCATGACTGACATTACCTCCGTAATTAATGCCTGGAAATACCAGCTCACAGACTCAGTCGGACTGCCTGTCTTTGTGTGTGTTACCCATTTTTTTCTACTATCAATTGCAGCTAAAGACCCTGCTATATAGTAGACACAGTATTTGATAAGAAAACAAGCAAGTAGGTCTCCCTGGTGGCCTACGGGTTAAGTTTCAGCGCTGTCACTGCTACAGCCTGAGTTCCATACCTGGCCAGGGAACTAACCTACATGTGGTGCAGCAAACCTCTCCTATCTCGCCTGCTGCTCCCCTCAGCAGTGTATTTCAGTAGATCTGCCTGTTCTGCTCTGTAATCTGTCTCTGGTGAATCCTCTCACCTGAACCTCTGGGCTACACCCCAGTTCTTCTATCAAAAAAAAAAGCAAATAAATGAATTCATGAATAAAGCCTTATTTGATGTCCTCCTGAGAACTGTGATAGCATTTCCTTTGTGTAGCCTTTGATTTCCACCATGCTGAAGCTCTGGGGTCCCAACATAGTGCTGCCAAGTGCAAGCCAGCCCAAGGGCAGCCAGGATGAGCAGGGTGGGGTGTGACAGGTGTTGATTCACTCACAAGACAGGGTCAGGGGCTTGGAGAGCCGCATGAGGGCGATGTCATAATCATCCTGCTCATCGGTGTAGTTGCCATTGATGATAATTTGGGAGATGGAGGCTGCCTCAGGCAGCTGGTGGAGGTTGCTGGTGCCTGCATACACCTTCCAGCCCTCCAGGATTTTCTCCCGGGTCCTGCAAGAGCCACAAGAGATCATGGGCCAGTTACATACCTAGCAGAGCCCACTGGCAGCATCTGCTATACACAGGCTTGGAGGCAGGAGGATGGATGAAATGACCTCTATAGGTCATTTCATTAGCCCAGGAGTCCAAAACAATCCTTCACCACCCACCTCAACACCTCTGCCCAAACCACTCTGAACTAACCACTCTGCACCTTACAATAATAAGAAGGAATGAGTAAGACCTCAGTGAGCATTCACTCCACTGTCTCCTCCACACACCACTGAGGACAAAGTGGGAGTGCTGAAAATATCTCTATGGCATGAGCCTCAGCAGACTCAAAATGACCCTCTAAATATGCATTCTGGAGGCACCAGTGCCCCTGAGGTCTGGTCCAGAGCCCCTTCAAGTCCACCATCTCAAAGGAACAAGCCTGGCTGGTGACTGTCAGCCACACTGTCTTCTCTACAGGCCCCATCCCTCAATTTCCTGATTTCGTGGGCTTCTCCCCTATAAGTTACAGATGCAGGAGGCAACAGTAAAACCAAAGCTGCTTTATTTCACTGTTCTTCAGAGGCAGGTTCCTCCCAAGTCCTTCCTGCTTGCCCCACTCTCCCTAGGGGCCATATCAATGGCATTTTCTCATTCTGGGCCTAGCTCAGAACAAGTAACTCCAACTCACATTCCCAGAACTAGATACCAACTGCAGATTGTGACCCATGATAGCCAGGCTCACAACAAGCCCTCCTTTATGGAGAGAGGACTCAGTCTGCCCTCAGCCCTTCCTGGGAATTCCCAGTCACAAAGCCCACACCCAACTTCAAATCACCCACCCCCTCCAGCACTCACACGAAGAAGCAATGAGCAGCAGTGAGCACCCACTGGGCGTCGATCAGCGTGCCCCCACAGATGTGGGTGGTGCCGTAGTGCAGACTCACTTGCCAAGGCCACTTGTTTTCTGGGGCCAGCACCCCTCCCACGATCCGCCCTGTCATGGCCCTCAGTCCACAGTCTGGGGAGGAAGCAGAGGAGACATGTTCCCAGAATCCAGGGCAGTCTTGGGCAGCCCTGTCCTGAAGCCACTCACTCACCATGGATATCACTTTGTCACTTAATTTCATGTGGCACCACTATTTCCTGACAAAGCAGAGCTCCCACATGGTGAGTAAGCTTTCTGGGATCATCCAATGGGAAGTGTGACCCTAGACAGGTTCCTTTTCCCTACCGCTCATTCCTTTCTTCATTCATTGACAAATGCTTACTAAGTGCCCAATGGGCTGGGTGTGGTGCTTAGCACTACTATGGTAACCATCAGCAGTTTGGGGAAGGAGACCAAATCTAACACGACCCTTGATAAGCACTGTGATGGGGATCTCTGTGATTTCAAAATGAATGAGAAGCTTCTCATGATGCACAGATGGGTTTGTGACTGCATAGTTCCACATAGGTCATTTAGTGCTACCAGGGACCTAACACCCCAAGGGAACAGTTCTAGCATGTTCCAGAGTAATTCATTCCTCCCCACCCCAAATCATGGACAAGAAGCAAGTTTGTTCAGATGTGTGTTTTTTCCTTTCTGAAGGGAGGAAGTGAGGAGCCAGCAGTGGTCTGGGGGAGGGGCACTCCATCCATGGCACTGTGCCCAGCCTGCTCAGGGGAGCGGTCCCACCCTGGTCAGTACTGACAGCATAGCACTACTGCAATGATTAATAGCCTGGGTGTTATTAAAAGGTCTTCCAACAACAAGTATTGGAGAGGATCTGGAGAAAAAGGGTCCTCTGTTGGTGGAAATACTAGCTGGTATAACCATTACAGAAAGCACTCTAGATTTGCCTTTAAAAAACTAAAATTGGAAATGCCATATGACTGAGCAATCCTACTCTTGCGCATATCTAAACAGAATATGAAGCCATCAACACAAATACCATAAATTCCACAATATTCATAATAGCAACATTATTTACGATTGCTAGAACATGGAAGTAGCCTAAATGTCCACCAACAGACATTTAGCAAGAAGATGTGGTCTATCCAAACCATGGAGCATTGTATAGTCACAAGAAAGAATGAGATGCAGCCCTTTCAATAAAATGGAGGGAATTTGAGAGAATTACATGCAGCAAAGTAAGTCAGAATGATAAATACAGGATATTTAAATAGAAGAAATTCAATAGCCTAAAACACTTTCAAACACCAGCGGATGCCAATAAGCACCCTAAGGACTCTGAGTTAAGGGGAGGGGATGGAAAGAGGATACAAGGGATGGTGTTGGGGGAAATAATCTTAAAGATTCTAGTAAAAAAATAAATTAAATTTAAAAAGACAGGCACAGTGCTTTGCATACAAATGAACCCAGGAAATATTGGCTCTAGATCTGAATCTCTATCTAGTTTCATATCTATTTATACAGGTGCTTTAAACTGGCCCAGACCTGCTTTTCCAGGTCTCTGACCCCTGCCCAGAATCTAAGAGACCTGAATGACTTCCTTGGTATGAGCAAGGTTCTAAGCTGGGCAGTCAGGAGAAAAGGAAATGCTACTCTGGGACTGTCCCTGCTGACTTACAAGGACCCCATTCCCTGGAGCAGACCTGCTAAGTAAGCCCTTCTTCCCGACTTGGACCTCCAGAGCTGGCCTTCTCCCCCAGAGGAATCCCACTCCACTGCCCCCACCCCACAGAGGTCACAATCCAGGAGGAAGAGCATCTTCTTACGGGAACACTGGAGAGAGATATAACGCTGAGAAGGGCACCGAGACCTGCCAGAGGAGACACAAAAAATGGGAAAAAGGTATATTAGTCACCTCCTCCAGGAAGCCTTCCCTGATTGAATCCTATCCCATTTCTTTTGCACAAGAAGATGGCGATTCTGACCTTCTCTCTCTGAGTGGGACAGGCCCTTCCAGTGCTTTCTCCTGTGCAAACCATCCCCATGCTTCTCCCTACGCTCCAGTTTTTCTATCTGGTGAAGTCTCTCCCCCTAACTCCTCCATCACAGAGGCTGCAACAGGGTCAGGCTGCATTACAAAGATGACAGATGAGGAAGAGGCCCAGGAGACTGACCATTTCTCCCGGATGGAGTTCCTATCCCTGATTACCTGGCAGCCCCTGCTGCTCTGCCCCTCCCCCTTCCCACTCCCTGATGCTCCCCATCCCAAGCCCACTCCCTACAGCAGCTTTCAGTTCAAACACCAGGCTCATTGGTGGTTCTGAGGTTAATTATCTCTGGCAACAAGGCAAACTCTTGGGGGCACCCCTGACTTCAAGGTTCCCCCTTCACCACACCTCAACTGGGAATTTTTAAGTCAGGAAGCAGGTAGTGCATGAGGATGCTTCTGAGGTCCCTGACATTCATGATCACACCTGGAAGCTGGGTCCCACAGAAGGACCAAGGGAAAGGCACTTCTTGATTCAGAGTCACCTGCACCCCCACCCCCTGCTCATAGACAGGTAACTTGACCCACTCCACCACACCTGTAGAGGCTTTCCTGGATAGTGGAGTTGTATTCAGAGATTGCAAAACTGTTGGTAAAATCCCGATAGGTCACCTCTGCTGTCCGGTAGGCACTGTAAGGGAAGGGGCGTGTGAAGAATGAGCCCCTTGGAAGCAGAATTCATCCCATCCCCAGCTGGCACGAGTCCTGGCTACCTGGCAAACAGGCAGGCCAGAGGCTGTCAGGGCCCACCAGTGTGTTCCACCACTGAGCCCCACTATTTGCTAGCCTACCAGTTTTCAACACGTGGTCCCCACCCTACTGGCAACATTAGCACCTCCTGGGAATTTGTTATAAATGCAAATTCTTAGGCCCTGCCCCAGACCTACTGGACCAGGAACTCTGGTTCTGTGTTTGAACAGGCCCTCTAGATGATTCTGATGCACTCTCAATTCAACAACACTGACCTAGCTCTTTTCTTTCTAAACTGTGATTCAGAGACTAGCAGGAGCAGCAGCAGCACCCCAGACTAGCTGAGTCAGACTTTGCATGTTAAAGTTATAGATCTGCACGTTGGAGTTGGAGAATCCTTCACTGGCTAGCTGGACCTCAACCAACAGTGTGCAAAAGAATCACCTGGGGGTGTCGTATCTGCTGAACTGTCCTAGTCCCAGAGATTCTGAGTTTTGGGTCATTTTAACAAGCATTGCACATCATTTTGATGTGGGTGATCCATGAACCACTACCTGCACAGAACAGGTGTGCACTTCTAGAAGATGGAAACTCCTTGCATGAGAGTGCTCCCTTGCAGGTGCTGTTCCTCTACCTAGGGGCCTCCTCCACTTTCTGCTCCCCTTCCATGCACAGTTCAAATACCCTTACGGCTACACACTGCATTGTGCTGTAAGCATTGGTTCAAGCCTCCCTTGCCCACACCATATCAGAGGTTCTCCAAAGGCAGGGATCTTGTCTGTTCCTATGTGTCTGAGTGTCACACATAATAAAAGCTCAATAAACGTCCTGTGAATAAGCGACACTGCACCAATGCCCCAGGGAGGCCCAGACTTTCATAAAGTCACACAACTCAGTGATAAAAGATGTACATCATCTTCCAGCTAGATCACCCAGATTCTCTTTCACAGGCTGGGACTCTGAGGCTGAGGTGGGCGTAGAGAACTGGTTCTAGTTTCCTAAGCCCTAGTTTCCTAGGTGCACCTTCTATAGAGAGCCCACCATATTCTAAACCGTTGTCCCCACAACCTCATACACATTGGTAAACCCCAAAAGTACTTGGTTTGAAAACTCAGGTCTGGAGGGAAGCTGGAGATTACTATGTGGCATGCAAATCAGAGACTCCTTTCAAGCAGGAGGGTTATTGCTTCCCCATCCCTGTTCCACCCCTCAGCATCATCTTCTTTAAATCTTTAGAGACAAAGAGCCTTATGATTTTACCTGGTCATATGTGCTCTTCTAGTTCGCTTGAGGAATTCTAGCTCAAACCACACTGCTAAAAGTCCACTGAGGGAGTCACATAGCCTTAGCTGTGAGAAGGTGGCCTACCCACCTCATAGGGCCATGGGACCTTAAATGTGGTAAGGGACACAAGCATGCCTTGATGCAAAGAACCAGACAGTAGCTGTGTGACTCTACTGCAGATCTACAGCATACGTGGGCCTCAGGGAAATAGCTTGTCCTAATCTGTAAGATCCCAGAGCCACTGTCCCTAAACCAGTGTCCCAAACCAATGACTTCAGCCCTGGTCCCCAGACCTTTTGTATATGAGGTCCCTGCAAAGAACCTGAGACGTCCCTGCAGCTGGGACCCTTGGGGGTTAGGGGTGGGAGGTGGGGGAGAGGTTTACTTCTCAAAGCCCAGCTGTTGGCATGTCTTCTCTGAGTAGGAGTCGTTCCAGTTGTCACTGCAGACCGGAAGCCACTGATGGGAGGATCCAGAGTAGACTTTAAGCAGAGACCTGTCCCAGTCAAACCTCACTGCATGGAAAGAGAAGGGCAGAGCAGATCCTCAGCACCCACAAATCTTCACGTCCTTGGAGAATAAGCTGAGCAAGATCTGAGGTGCTCCTGTTTTGAGGCTCCCGGGAAATGTCCAGAGATTGGCTGGGAGTTGATGGTCATCAACCAGTGCTCAGAAGTCCAGTAAGGGCAGAGCCTGTGACAGGACCCAGGGGCCACTGTGGCTGAAGGGGTGAGCGTGGCCAAGAGTTGTCACCCTGAAGGGGCAGTAATATGCCCAAATGAGAGTGACAAGGGGAATTAGGTCTGCGATCTGAGTGCTCATCATCAGGCTCTGTCACAGAAGGACATGGTCACAAGTAAGGTCACACTCAGACACACAGTTGGATCGGCGAGGCCGCCCACATCGGGGATATACGTAGACAACCATGCAAAGCCACTGAGGACCAGATTTCAAAGAGAGCTTTGTGCTCAGCTAGACCAGCCATTTACAAATTGGCTTTCATGACACGATAGGGATGGCATGTCTGAGGTCATGTGCTGGACAAAGAGAAGGCATATGTGGAAAGGACTTCAGACCCCAATCCTGCCTCCAGTCGGAGCAGCTCTGCTTTGCTCACAGATCTTATTTGAGAACAACTAATCTTGTCCAAGTCATTTAGTCTACAAACTGGAAAACTGAAGCCCAGAGAAGGCAAATGACTTGCCCCAAGTCACACAGCACTTAAAGTCAGGCTTCATATTGAATTTCATACTGGCTAGTACCCAGATCCTCTGGTTCTCTGTCCAAGACTTTCCATTTGAATTTGCACCCCAGTTTGCAGTCACCAGAATGCACACTCATATATGCATACACACTCACACATGCATACACACTCAAACATGCACCCAAGCCCAACGTCCTTACCACAGCCCAGCTCGTCACTCTTCAGCTTGCAGTCTACTACCCCATCACAGCGCACAGCATTCCGGGGGCAGCTCTCAACTGGCTCTTTGTACTTGATCCCTGTGTGACCACGCCAGAAATAGACTAGAAAAAGAGGAACAGACAGCTGGGTCATTGCCAGCCCCAGAGAGATAAGACACTAAGTAGCCCAAGGCCCTGGGGGTTCTGAGACACCGACCTGCAATCCCTCTTGGACTCTGGGGTTCTCGTCCCCCATCTGTATGGAGAGAAAGGAATGCTCCAGAAAGCTCCCTAGAGAATTCCCTCTAGGAATGCTCCAGAAAGCTCCTGCAAGCAGGGCAGCACCAGGCAGACTTGAGCAGCCACCCAAAGACATAAAGAGAAACAGGGAGAGAGGGAGGGAGGGAGGTGTAGAGGTGGGTGCTACTTTGGGAATGCTCCTGCCTTACATGCTGGCCAGAGAAACCACTCCTCCAGTATCCCGGAGACCCCTTCTTAGAGACCCTCTGGTATCTCTTGTCTCTGTGCTCCATGGAGTCACAGCAGAGAAATTTCTATATCCCATCAAATACACCCAAGTACTGCCTGTCCTGTCTTCCCAAAAGCTGTACTTCCACCTTAGCATCTCCTGGAGTTTCTTCCTCCTCCTTGCCCCTGCAGGGGATGTCCCTTAGGCCCCCTCTGCCTCATTACTTGTCTTTATGCAGGTAAATGTTTTCCATTCAACAAGCAACTCTAGGTGGCTAAATCCCAAGTGCACAAGCTTTCCACACCTAATGTGAAGGTCAGCTTTATCATCCCCTTGTCTCTAACACCTATTTGTTCCAAACTAGGAACTCTTGTCCCTCCTGCAAGAGACACTTCCCCTTGGATGCCTAGGAAAGCTGAGTTCTAACTCCTCACCTGCCTCTCTCCCTTAACCGACACTTCAGCCCCAATCCCCCACATCTCCCCTGGTCCCACCACGCTCTGAGTCACCAAGGTGGAGGCCAATTTGTGTGTCTGCTCCTTCCTTCCTAATGTCTTGGTCTTCCCCTCCCATACGCTGAGCACTGAACCTCTAGGGAGCCCCGGGCTGTCCTGCTCAGAATGTTCATGAAATCGCAATTGAGGGGCCAGCCTGACATGTAGTGGAGAGAGCTCTGGCTGGGGAGCTGTGGGCCAGGGCAATAGTCCTGACCCCACCATGTAGCTACTCCAGTAGTGCACGTGTCAAACCACCTGCCTGGCCCTGGGAGGTCCAGAGGTCAGAGGACTCAGGAGATGAGTGTGAAACCACACTGAGGGCTATGACTCCATATAGGAGCCACCCTCAGGTGCCATCTCACCCACCCATGGGCTATTTCCTAATACTCTCTGTGGAGTGCCAGGGTGGCCCCAAAGCAGGAGCCATGTGTGGGACAGGGGTAGAGCAGGACAGCGAGTCCCAGCTGGGGGCTCACCTGGATGCCTGTGGCAGGCTCTGTGCTAAAACCTTTACCTGCATCATGACAGCAATTGTCCCACCTTGTCAGGCAGGTGGAGAAACTGAGGCCCAGGGAGTGAATTTTTTTTTTTTGGTTTTGTCTTCTCGTTTTTTTTTTTTTTCAGTTATTTCTTTTCTTACATCATTGTTCACTTTTGTACAGTATTTGATTTCTCTGCTCAAGTGTGGTCCCATAGTTCTCCCACCACAATAGCAGCAGTGATCCATCACCATAATCCCTTGTGCTCTTCCCCCGCCTGACCTGACCCCTTACACTCCCCCTCCCTTGCTGTGTGCCTTGGTCTGTTTGGTCTGCTTGCAGGTTTTGTCTTTTTCTTGACCTTTGTTTAGTTTCTCTATATTCTAGGAAGTGAACTAATTTTCTGATGTTAATTAAGGCCAAAAACACTTGGCCTTAATTATTTCCAGCAACATTTGCCAGGAGACTGTAATGTCCCTGAGGACAGGACAATACAATGTGTTTCCCCTTTGGCTGCCTCCTAAGGTTTCCCACTTGTTGGGTTTATAGTGGGCTCCCTGGCAGAGAGCCCTGGGCTATGTCCTGAGTATCTTTTCCAAAGAGAAGAGGAAACTCAAGGAGTTCTGAACCAACGAATACTTTATCCCACTGACTGAAAATGCCTAAGAGACTTTTCCTAATCTATTTTATGTTCATTTTCTTTAGTTACTAGCATTTTTAGAGTGGGGTTTGGGGTCAAGCACTGTGCCATAATCTCTTTTATCCCCCATAACCCAGTGAAGTCTTTATGAGATCAACTTAATTCATTCAATGCAATAAGTTGAATGAATGAATGAATGAATGAATTTAACCCTGCTCGCCCAAGTAAGCTGCAAGATAACTAGCATTGGTGGGACACAATCCCTTGTTCCCCTGACTTCTCTTAACCCACTATCTCCCAGGGGCCTGGGCACCACAGTCCTAGGTCATTTACAAGAGTGCCCCTCTGTGGACACAGTAGCCGGGCAAGCGTGTTCCCCGTTCCTGTCACCCTGCTACATGCCCCCAATCCCAGATACCATTCCACCCAGCAATGGCCAGACCCCACACCCCCACCCTGTCCCTCTGTTAAACTCACAGAGAATGATGAGTGATGTCACAAGGGCGATGAGAAGGAGGACACATCCGATAAGTGGCAGCTGCTTCTGGCCCTCTTGCCAGGTGAACTTGGGCAAGCTGATACCTACGAGTGGGGCAGCAGCAGGGGAGGATGAGGATGTTGGAGAGGAGTCTGGCATGGAAGAAAAGGGAGAAGGAAACAAGGCTGGCCTGTGAGGGCCCGTTAGGATCTCTCCACCCAAAGGAAGGGCCCTCCTCACCTCACTCCAAGCACTTCCTTTTATTGGGCATCTACTCTGGATCAATCAGTTCACATTATCTTATTTAATTCTCACAGCATCTGTGAGCTGGGTGGTCTTATGCCCATTTTATGGATGAAGAAACTGAGGTTTGTGGAAGTTAAATAACTTGATCAAGATTACTTGGTTAGTGAGTAGCAGAGTAAGGGTTCAAACAAAGTGTGTGTGATTCCAAAGGTCCTGGCAACAAAGTGCATCACCAACCCCTGGGAGGGCAAGAATGTGAGGTGTGCCCCAACTCTGGATGTTCCTCCAAGCCTGTTTATGTGGTGGTAGGGTGCAGGGTAAGGTAAAAAGTATCAGGCTTTTCTGCCCTCCCACCATTAGGATAGATGACGGAAACGTGTGGTCCTGAATGCATGCCTGATGGCGGGCACCTGGAGTTGGGTGTGGGCGTATGTAGATGGGATTCACCTGGGCTAAGACTGGGCTTTTAAGGGTGGCGTCACGGGGACACCAGCAGAAGCCGAGAGAAGAAGAGAAGCAGAGAGAAGGCCAGAGAGCCCAGATAGAGTGAGGATTTGCTGCGGGCTGGGAGGACTGCCAGCCTCCCGGCCCCCCAGCACCCCTGCCTGCCATGTGCCTGGTAAATCTAAATGAAAGACATGCAAAAGCCACCTGGTCTGCTGGATCAGAAAACCTGCTCAGTGCCCTGTTCCTGCCTTTACATAAGGGCAGTCTGAAGTCTAGGACAAGAGGAGGGCCAAGTTGGGATGGGCATGATACTATTTCCTTAAGGCCAAAGCCATTCCCATTCAGCAGCTCTGACTTCCTAGCAGCTGAATCAGATAAGCCACAATTTGGAAAGTTGGGGGTGGGAAGCCTGCCTTGTCACATTGCCCCTCTCCTCCTCCACTCACAGATGGACTCACTCATCAGGACCCTGCTCACACGCTGCCCCCAGCAAGGCAACAGCCCAAGAACCATGGTCTCTAACCAGGAGTCCTTGCTCTTGAAATCTGCGCTCTGACAGCGCAGCCTCCAAACTTTCACTTGCTTTATACCTTTACTCCATTTCCCCCCAGTTTTCCTCTGTCTTGCATTTGCTCCTTTTGGTGCCCACCCCCCCCCAGTTCCCTCACTGTATATATACCACAGACCATTCCCCCTTCTTCCCACACTCATTATCCCAGGGGTAGAGGAGGCACAGATAGTCCCAGCTCATAGCGCAGAGATTTTCTTGCCACACTTGGGCTGCTTTCCTGTTCCTCTTGCTTTCCCTGCTGTATCCCCCTTACCTGGGCTCTCCCCAGCAGCCCTGGTGGCTGGCGCTGACCTAGCAGGAGCTGTCCGGACTGGCACGGCTCCCACCGGTACTGCTCTTACAAGGTACACTCGTGTTGGCGAGGCTGTTACGGAGGCTGATCTGGTGGATGATGACCTGCCTGATGATGACCTGAAAGGCGATGCCCGGGCCGGCGACGCCTGTCCTGGGGATGCCTGGGCTGGAGACGTCCTTGCTGGGGAAGCATTCTGGAGGCAGAGTGAAGGGTATCCTTAGGTTGTTCCCCTGACACCCCACCCAGCTGTCAGGCCTGCTGAGCTAGGAGATAAACGGGGCAATTGGCTGGGCAGGGGCGGAGGCCCTGGCCAGGGAAGCATCTGAGAAGAAAAGAGCGCAAAAATGAAATGAAAGCTTAGAGTTGTCCCCAGCTCCCCACAGTCCCCCATCACAGGGACCTGCAGAGGTGGGCAGGGGACAATGGATCATCTTCCCTGGGGGTTTTGGCTACATGTGTCTAGGGATCCCCAAAGAAGAGGATCTGGACCCTCACTCTGGAGGTGGCTTAACACATGCTCCCCAGTGAGGGAAGTAACCTTTTCTGCCTCTTCACTTCCCTGGACTTTCCTACAGCCTGCCCTTTTTCCCAATGCACATGTGTTAGACTATAAGACATCAATCTTACTATAAGCTGCCATCAAAAAGTGTGAAAAGCACTACTTCATAAAAGCCCTGACCTGCCTTGTACCTCACCACTCTCTCAGCAACACCACAATTCACACATATGCGTGCTGCATGCATATACATGTACCCATGCAGGTGCACACACACATCCATCCCTCACGGAAACCGGAGAGGCAAGATGCAGGAGACAGGTATCTGCTGGGGTTCAACTCCACCACTCTTGGACAAGATGCTTAACCTTACTCAGCTGCAGGTGGAGTAGCTTATTTAGCTTTACTACTTCAATGTATAGTTAGAGAGAACTTACTAAGTGCTTTATATATATTTACTCATTAATCTTCAGAACAACCCTCTGCAGTAGGAACTCTTATTATCCCCATTTTGCACAGGGGGAAAGAAGCAGAGAGATAAGTAATTGTTCAAGCTCTCATAGCTAGAGAGAAGCAGGACAGGGATGGAAGTCCAAGACATGGACTCTGGAGGCCGTGCTCAGCACCATGGATCCCTGCTGCCTCCCTGAGGATAAGGCAGCAGGGGGTCATAGCAGGCAAACAGTGAATTTTAGTCCCATTCCTGGGAAAGGGAGCTGATGGGAAGTCAGAGCTGATCAGAACAGCTTGAGCAAATTTTGCTGTCTGCAAAGCCCTGGTCTGCAAAGCCCTGGTCCCTTTTCCCAGTTTAGGCTCTCCTCTCCTCCCTCCGGCACCTTCCAAAGATCTCTCTGCCCTCCGTACTCCAGCTCTGCTTCTTAAGCCCCTTCTAGAAGTCCTCAGAGCAGGGCGAGGGCCATAGGAACTGACCTGGCCCAGAGGCCACCTCTAACCCTCATTATAATTTCAGCTGAGAACCACTGGTTGCTTGGGAGGGGCTGGCCTCAGGGGAGCAGCAGGAATGGTGGGGGAGGCGTGCCTGCATTGCACTGAGGCAGAGCCAGCAGGGCTGTGCTGAGGAGACAGAGGCTCCAGACCTCTGGCATCTGTTTCCATTCCTTACCTAACTCTGTGCTTAAAAGCATTTGACATTATTACCAGCAGCCCAGCGATTACAAAGTCCCCCTCACTAGAACATCCAGCCCAAGTGAACACCATCATCCCTACCTACTGTGCTTTTTTTTTTTTTTCCAATTCCTGCTTCTAAGAGTTGGAGATAATTGGCTTGATCACTTTCTCATTTTTCTGGGGGCTTTGGGATGAATTCAAGTTGGAATCTTGAGCTTCTGACCCACTTGGCTTGCCAGGGGCAAGGAACAGGAGAAACTATCCCTGAGAGGGACTGAGGCAATTGCTGGATATGGGCAAATACACACAAGTCCCGATGCTCCAACTGCATGTGTGTAGGGAATTGAAGGCAGCTGCTGTCCCAGATGACCAGAGCAGACTTTCCTCCCTATTGTCCAGAACCAGATTTCAGATAGTGAAGACTAGGTAGGCCCTGGAAGCTTCAAGGGGAACAGGACTGGGGCTGGGAGCAAAGAGAGGTGGTAAGCAGCCATGATGAAATACAGAATGCATAATGAACAGCAACGCTTTGGAGTTAGGTGACCAGGGTACCAATTTTAGGTCTAGCAAGGTCACCTTAAATAAGCCACTTTATTTTTTCTCTTATTGCTTCTTGGCCTTTTGGTTAAGATCAAGTGTAGTATTTTTTTCTCTTTCTTAATCTGTAGAATATGATTAACAATTCTGAAAATTCAACAGATAAAACAGGAAAACCCAGGCACATACCTGGCACACACAGCAGCTTCACAGGAAGTGATTATTTCTCTGCCCTTTTGCGCTGGCACATACAGCACCAGCCGTGCAGAGATTTAAGTCATAGGGCGTGACCAATAGGCTGAAAGGTGGTGTGAGCTCATTTTAGGAAGAAAAGAGGGTGCTGGATAAAAGTCAGACTAATACCCCTTCCTGAGAGCCCTCGTAAAGCTCTGTGCTCCCACCAGCGGTAACCTGCCTGAGCCTTGGCAACTGCCCAGCACCCTGGCATTGTAGCACCCTGACCAGGCTGCCAGGCCTCCCTCCACCGTTATGTTTACTCTATAATTCTTCCCCAATCCAGGGGGAATTGTCATAATCTAATACAATAAAATGGTAACAGCACACATATGTATGGTACTAGAGTTCACAATAAAAATTCCTCATCTATGGCCTTGTGAAGTCCTCCCTAAGAGGTTGGTATTTTTAGAAACCCATTTTACAGATAAGGAAACTAAGGACCAGAGCTCAGATTGCCCAGAATTAAATAGTCAGGATTCTCCCCAAGTCTGAGTGCTTTCGATCCCCTGCCTTCTGTTGTCAGCAGCAAGAGCCTCAAGTTCAATCTTCTCCCTGAATTTTCTGCACAGGGCTCTTGCAGCCCTGAGAGTGCCACAGGGAGTCTTGGGGTGGGACTGAGCGTTCCCATAAGGGTCTTGTAGAACTTTCCAGTGGGAACCACAGTTGGGCCCTGTGGACTTTCAGGAACCCTAGGGATGGGAGCCCCAGCAACACAGTTGTCACAGAGCTGGTGACTCTGGACAAGCGATTTAACCTCTGACATCTTGGTTTCCTTCTCTGCGAGGTGAGTCAGTCCCCAGGTCATAGCATTGTAGTGATAGATGAGACATGTCAAGTGAGGACTTGGCCACCATTAGCTTTGAAGGTGGGTGCTTGTTTATCTGTTTAAGATCTGGGCTTGAAATAGAAGCATCTGTGTTGAAATATGACTGCATCTATTCCTAACTGGGTCACCTTGGGCAAGTAAGGTAACACTTGAGTGTCTGTCTTCATGTAAGATGGGACTCATCTTGCCTCCTTACCCCAGATAAACACACAATAAACACAAGAGCCTGCTCTATCAATGTGAATCACCACAGTAGAGGTAACAGCCCATTGGGCACCTTACTTGATACAATTTCAACCTCAAAACAGCTCTTTGCAGTTGGTACTATTGGCCCATTTTAATAGATTTTGAAATTAAGGCCTGAAGGGGTTAGGAACATGCCCAGACGCACACTCAAGTAAGAGGAAGGACTTGGATTCTTACCAGACCTGCTACAAGCAAGTTGCCTGGACCAACAGTACTCAGATGTTTGCAGTAACATCCTTCATTTCTTCAGGGTTAATAATTTGCAAAGTGCTTTCATGTGATTTGCGTGATTTTTACAAAGTTCCTAGTTAGCCAGCTAGACAGGAATTATCATTCCCACTTTATACATGATGAAAGAGGGGTTCAGAGGGACTAAACTGCATGCCAACAACCCCTAAACTGACTGGTGGTCTTGTAGGGACTCTAGCACAATCTTCTGATTCCCAGTCAACAGTTCAGGCTGTTTCCACCTGAGCAGGACCCATGACCTGGATGTGTTACCCCATGATGATGGGAAGGAATAGAGGGACCAGGACTGAAGGAGAGGGGGCTGATATGTGTGCAGGCAGCAGAGGTCCACAGGAAGATCTGGAGGAGAGGGATGTTTTGTGAGGCCGGAGCACTGGGCAGGAGTCAGAGAGGGGACTGGCAAAGCACAGGATGGTGGAGAGCCAGGGATGGCCAGAAAGGCAGAGAGATCTCCTGTCCCTCACTCCATTATAGGCAAGTCCAGAATTGCCCACACATAGCAGAGGATGTCGGGAAACAGGGAGGAGAGACTCCGAGGAAGTGAGCTCCAGGATTCAGTCAGGAGACTGCATGGGTCCCTCTTCTCCAGGCCTGGAGGGAGGTTGTACTCTATACGTGGCTGGTATGGCTGTGTCCTAGGCTCAGCACCGGGGAGCCAGGAAGAGTGGGAAGTTTCCAGCTGGACTTTTAAAACTGTTGACTCTGAGCCTCAGGAGCCACTACAAAGTCTTCCCAGGGTTGGGAAGTGTGGGGTGTGGGGATAGAAGGGAAGCTGGGGATGGGAGGTAGAAAGGGCAATATCCCTCAAAAAGGAGACCCTGCAGGCCATGGTCTTAGTAGAGCTAGTGCTCTGGTATCAGATGGACCAGGACAAGAAGAGAGTTGTGGGACCCCAAGTGCCATGTGAAGAGGTACAAACCCCAGCAGGGACAGCAGGATGAGGGGCAGTCCTAAACCAAAGGAAAGCGGCCTTCAGAGAAAGACCACCTTCTCTATGCCCATGGCCCTGAACATCAACCCAAACCCACCCAAAACTGGAGGCTAGAAGGAGTACTCATTTTCAGGAACTACCAGAAGAGGTGATTCCACAGCCACCCTTCTGCCCACTTCACAGACGGCCGCCCCACCCTGGGGGGAGATTAGACATTCTTCCTGATGGCTAATCTACTGCAGCAGCAGTAACTCGTTTCCTTTCCTTGGTTCTTGGAGAGCAGTGGCTGAGATGCCAGCCTCCCTCTTAGAGGCCTGACCTCACCCTCAGAGCAGGTGCCTTGAGCAAGTGGGGAAGGAAGGGGGAGGAGACCACTTGCCCAAGATCTTGAGATACATGGGGCAGAGTCTGGGCCAGAACCAGCCCAACTGCTAGCAGTTGGCAGTGAACAGAAGATCCAGGAATGGAACTCAGATGACCAACTCCTGGGCCAGGGCTCCAGGATCTCCTTAACAGATCAGAGGTTCCCCAGACTTCCCAGTAGGGAAGAGTCAGTGGGTAGATAACTGTAGGGCTCCCTAATATTGCCAGTCACTCTTTCCCTGCCCTGTCTCTCCTCTCTACCCACCCCTGAGTGATCTCTGGGGCTACTGCCTGGAGTAATGGAGTTGGGAACCCTCATCCTGTCACCAGCCAGGTTGATACCCCAAGTTTTCACCACTCCCCTCTATCTGTGCCTCTGCAATTCCTGGGGGCCCCCATTCAAAACTTGTCTGGCCCACAGAATGTTCTGGGGCATGAGACAGTGTGACTGGAAAGCAGGTGGGCCTGGAGTCCACAGGAAAGCAGTGAGGGACAGAGCAGGAGAGAACTGATAAGAGGAGTCCTTTGCTTTTTTCAAGCACTTTCCTGCACAGGCGCTGATGAGGATTATTATTCCCATTTTGCAGATAAGGGAATAGAGGCCCAAAGCATTTGTGTGCTTTGTCCAAAGTCAGTCATCTTAGAGCAGAGTAGGGAAAAACCCAAAGCCCCTTGTACCTAGTCCAGTGCTCTCTGTCCTACAGCTACCAGGGTAGATTCCCTATCCTAAGGTGAAGGGGGCATTTTTATGGTTTCCTGAGACTGTTGACTCTGTCCCTTGGGCTTTTACCTGGTGCAGGATGGGAGTAAGTTAACAAGCCCCTACATATGTCCTGCCTTTGGCCTCTCTGAGTCTCCTGCAAGTCCAGTCATGGAGGACAGGAGCCCTCTGTGCTGGCTGATGTCACAGCCGCCGCAGGAATTGCTTCATCTCAGTGGTTATGTGGCTGCTGCTATGGACTGAACCCAGGGCTTTACATAGAGACTGTTCTCCAACCACAGGTGGCCACCTGAACTCTGGGTCAGAGCATGTGGATCACTCAGGGCCACAGCAGACAGGAAGAAGTACCCAGTTAAAAGGTGTGCTAGATTTAAAGACTGCCCTCCTGCAGCAGCAGCTACAACCTGAACTCATAATGTAAGACCAGGTTGATCAGCCCCTGCACATCCAGCACAAGCTGACTGGGCCTCCACCCTCAACCCTGGACCCTCTCATCATAAAGCCACCATCCCAGGCAGCCTGGGCACAGTACAGGTTGTCAGAGCTAGGAAGATCCTGAAAGCCCTCTAGTCCTCCTTTACCTTACTGATGAGGTAACCAAGGCTCAGAAAGGCAACGTGAATTATCTAAGATCACACAGCCAGTTGGAGACTGTGCCAGAATCCTGATCTTCTGGCTCCTGCCCATGCTTGGGTGGCTATACATCTCCATTCTTCCTCCACCTGCCCCTTATCAGGCTCCAATGAGAAAGGGCCCTTCACCAGACTTAGGTCCCTCCAACAGTTTCTTTCCCAGTGACCCCGACATCGGGAACATTCAAAGGGTGGGCACCCAGCACACCAGGCTAGGTAGAAAGCACTAGGGAGCACCATGACAGCTCAGGCAATCCCTCTGACAGAACCTGAAAAGCCTCCTTCCCCACTGAGAGCTTGGGGTGTGTGGGAGGGGGGGTGAGGGTCTGGGCCATAGCAGGGGGTAATGAAGCACTTCCAGTCTGGGCTGGACTGATCTGGCCTCTGTGGACCTGGTCTGGACTGGGCTGCATTGGATCACGGCTTCTTTCTCATCCTCACTGCTCAGCCTATCTTCATTGTTCCTCTTGGTGTGCAGGGTTCCCTCCCATCCTCCCTCCCTGAACTGAGAAACCCCATAAACACAGGATCCCCTGAGAACACAGGCAGATTCCCCAAGCACCTTCTCCACTCAGTCGCCAGCAGTCTCCCACCATCCCCCCCACCACACGCACTGTTATCTCAGGGACCCCCATGAAGCTGGAATCAAACCCACTCAGGACTAAGAGGCCAGTGTCCCAAGGCATGGGAGGCACAGGGAGCCATGCTCCTAGCCAACTAGTGTAATGCTAGGGCAGTCATAGCCTTCCCTGGGTCTCTGCTGCTTTTTCTATAAAATGAAAAGGTTGGATAATCAACTGTTTTCAAATAGGGTTCCAAAGAGCACTGGAGGTTCTAAGAAGATACCTCCAAGATCAGTTTAATAGCAAAGGGCCATAAGTCCTCTATCCCACTTCAATCAGAGAAGATTCCCTTTTCAGTGTTCTAAGATGTTATACAATGGAATCCACTTAAGATTCTATTTGAGGGCCTCCCCTGCTGTGAAGATGTCCGCAGCCTCTGCAGCGCCAGTTCGATCCTGGCCAGCTGGCGAGGGTCCCACATGGCGCTGCAGACCTCTCCTGTCTCGCCCACTGCTCCCCTCAGCAGTGTATTTCGTCAGTCTGCCTGTTCTGTTCCCCAATCTCTCTCTGGTGAATCCTCTCACCCTCCCACAGATATGGCCTTTACCCTGGTTCTTGCATAAATAAAATCTTAAAAAAAAAAAAAAAAAAAGATTCTATTTGAATGACAGCACCACTGCTACAAAGAACTTGAAATTACTGGTCTAGTTCCTTCTGGTTTAGGATGTTCATATACACATGAAAAAGTCTCATTAGATGAGAATCAAAAACACCTTATTCATTCATTCATTTGTTCTTTTGTTTATTCATTCATCAGTATAAAGAACATTTAAACTATTGTCAAGGAAATAACACTGAATTTCCCAGCAACCTACTGCCTCAGTTTCTCCCCATACCACTTGCCTGCCAATACTAGGGAAGTGGGCCCCAGTTTGGACTCTCCAGTCAGTCACAGGTACTGCTTCCTTTGGAAAGGAACCAGCCTCCACTATGCTGCCAAGGCCTCCTCCTGGCTTGCCCACCCTGGCTTCTCTTGTGCTTTTTCCCAGCACCTGGCTGCTTGACAAAGCACAGTCCACTCCATAGCTGCTGTACCAAGAGGAAGCTATTGTACCAAAACAAGACACTTAAGCTAAGTGGCTATTGTTACATCAATGGCCTTCCCGCCTAGCACCCCAGCCTGGAGTCCTGCCGTACACACACTCCCACACATCCGTGCTCCCATTTGCCAAGTCACAGGGACAAGGCAGGGGAGGCAGTCTGAGGTGGGCCAGGTGGGAGGCTGCTCAGCACCATGATAACAGGAGACACAAGAGGTGCCAGGTCAGGGCTGCATGCCTGCAGGGGCAAAGGGCAGCATCTGGGAATCCTGAGGGTGCCTGGGGATTGGAGGGATGGCAAATTCATCTGTGATACTGGTCTGTCACCTTAGGAACCTACCCAGTCTCCTCTGAGGAGGGTACCCCATCCTGAACCAGCCCTGGGACCTCCAGTCATTCTTAAGTTTAAAGTATCTTTCAATCAGCCCAACACCACAGCCTGCTCCACTTTAAGAAGAGCCAATATTAGAAAATCCTCTCAGCAAAGTACTATTGCTTTATCAAGTGGGTCTATTTCAGTCTTTATTTAATAAGCATTGCATCTCTTTAAGGATTAAGAACCTGACTCATTTTGAAGAAACACAAAATACATACTATTTTTCAAGAATAAAAGCACATATCCACTGAGGCAAATCTGTAATTTCAGGATTTCTATATAATTCCAGAGATTACCATGGGATCAGAGAGGGCCTTCAGGGGGCAATTTGTCCAGCTTTCTTTGTGGGGAAAATGAACGACAGAGAGAGATTTGTGCAAAAATTTTAGAGGTGTCAGGAATAGACCCTAAATGATGATGATGATGATGATGATGATGATATGGTAATGATCATGACAATAAGTATTAACATTTTGTGAATATACCTCTATCTCTATATTCATCATCTATGCCTAATACTATCCCCCCCAAAAAAGCTTTACTATGTGAAAGACACTATTCTAAGACTTCTTGAAGTAGATATATTCTTATTCCATTTTATAGATGAAGAAACCAAGGAACAGAAAGTTAAGTGATTTTTCCCAGTCATAACTGACCTGGAACTTGGACAATGCTCTGTCTACCTCATCACACAACTTCCCCTTCTGCAGCACCCCTCCAAGATGATTCTAAAGAACCAACCAGCTCTCACAGGAACTTTATCAGGTTTAAGCTCTTTGACCACCATCTTCCTCAACTTCATGGAGCAGAAGGACAAAAATCACAGTGCCTCTCTCTGCAATGAAGCCCTCAGTGAGAAGGTCAGGAAGGCATATGAACATTTTCTCCCTATCTGTACCCATTCTATTTAATCTATATTAAGCAGTCTGCTGCAGATAAGATTAAGGGTCTCAGGCAGCAATTCCTACCACCTCCTCAGGTTGACTATCTGATTCCACCTTAACCAAGGGGCTAGATTTAATATCCCTAAATAAGGAATTTTTTTTTTTTTTAAAGATTTATTTATTTATTTATTTATACAAGCACTGGGTACAGTCAGAAGCGCGGGAGGGTGAGAGAATTCACCAGAGCCAGAGCGGGGAGCAGAACAGGCAGACTGACGAAACACACCGCTGAGGGGAGCAGCGGGCGGCAGGAGAGGTCTGCGCGCCATGTGGGACCCTCCTCCAGTGGCCGAGGAGCAGCCAGGGATCGAAATGGCGCTGCAGAGGCTGCGGGCAGCTTCGCAACCCAGCGCTCAACCGCTGCACCACCGGGGAGGCCCAAATAAGGAAGTTTTAATTCCATTCCTTCATTCCAAGATAAGTCCAGAATGAACATGGCACCTACCACACTATTTGTTGCTTAATTCATGAATGAATCGGTATGCCCACTGTTCCATCAATGATGGAGCCTGCAAATTTTAGCACCCTCCAGTGACCTCCCATGTTTGTCCCTGACTCTGGAAAAATGATCTTCTTCAGCAGATATCCCCCATCACTCTTCCCCATCACATCTACCTCCACCATGAGCAGGCACCCCTTGGACCGATCAGTCTTCTCACCCTTTGTGTTTGGGCCATCTCCTTAGGGTTCCCAGCACATCACCAAGGAACACACCCATGTCTCACAAGGAACATACCGTAAAACCTGTGGTTCACCCACCCCAAGCCCCAAGCAAAACTCCGTTCTTCCCTATGCACACCTTCCTGCTTACAGAGATTCCAGTGAATCCCAGAGGCCTAGAGCCAAATGAACACAGTGTGTCAGAGATGCAAATCAAGGAGACCAGAGCAGAGAGCAGGGGTGGACTCCTGGGCAAGAGAAGTCAGGAGCAGGCTGGAAGAACAGTTGGAGAAATGATGGTAAATTTTGCAGAAACACATCTAGGATTCAGAATAGACCACATGCCAAGTGTAAGCCAGAACAGGCTGAGTTGAGGCTTCTCAATCCCATTGCTGGCCCATCCTTCCCACAGCCCCATATTATACCACATCAGTGAAAAACGAAAGCGGGGCCTCCCTGGTGGCTCAAGGGGTTAAGACGCAACCTATGAAGCTCACCACAGCCACTGCAGCACAAGTTTGATCCCCGGCCAGGGAGCTACCCACATGGCGCAGCAGACCTCTCCTGTCTCACCCGCTGCTCCCCTCAGCAGTGTATTTCAGTCGATCTGCCTGTTCTGTTTCCCACTCTGTCTCTGGTGAATCTTCTCACCCCCCACAACTCCAGCCTGTACCCCAGTTCTTGTATGTATAAATAAAAATAAATCTTTAAAAAAAGAAAAAAGAAAAACCAAAGCGGTAGAGGGAGCAGAACACAAACCCCAATGAGAAATCAGAGCACAAGAAGAATGTCCCTCAGGAAAAGAATCTGGCCCCACTGAACAAAAACCTATGAAATCGTCTTGTGCATATAATTGACTTTTCCACAGAGAACACTCTAGCTGTGCTCTACCAGCACCAAGAACAGACAAAGGAAGAAATCTGAGTTGTAGCAGAAGGAATTATGATTAGGTATAGGAAGCACTTTCCAAACATGAAGGCTATTACACCCTAAAACAAGTGACCAAAGAAAGTAGCAAAATCTTGAAATATTAAGTGCTCATAGAAAGCAATATTTTTTTTCTAGGATGGTTTATGAGTCTAGGTTGGCCAGGGTAACCTGAAACCCAGTTAGAATCTATAGTTCTGTGAGTCTCAAACTAGCAAAGGGAATGGCCTAAAGCGTAGCTGTACTGGCTAGGGTGCTTGCAGGCTACACAGCAGGAGCCCATGTTCAGCCACACAGCCCTAGAGTACTTCCTGACCAGACCCAATCTCATCAGCTTCCTTCCCAGGGGTCCCTTGAAAGAATCTATATGATAAAAGGAGGCCAAAAGATCTCAGACCCAAGTTGCTTCACATTAGGAGGACATATTCAGTTAACCCCCAAACCTGGGGCATACAGGTGGCTGTGCCCCGCCTACTTCCCAGCCAGTCCCTGTTCCTCAGCACCGAAAGGTTTTGGCCCGAGGCTCAGAGACACACTCACCCGACTATTGTCCCTTTCCATGGTCTTCCGAGAGCTGAGGCTTTCAAGCTCAGCTGGTGTCGACAGGAAGGTCCATGTTGGCCCCTGGCTTCCCCGGCATGTGGAGAAAAGGGGGCTGGAGGGCTAAGGGCCAGCCCCCAGCAAATGGGGCGGGGAAACCGGTTGGGATGTGTGAGGTAATCCCAAGTATCAACAACAAGCAGAACTAGCCAGACCTGTCCCTCGCCCCTCCTCCCAGGCCATCCCAGTTACTCAGCGAATACCAAATGCGCGGAGTGTGAAACTGCCCCCACAAAGGAAGCTGTGGGGAAACCCAGACTTCCAGACTGCCTCTTGGAGAGGGGGTCCCAAACAAAGGGGTCCAGGTCCTGTGTGGACAGTCTCAGTCCTATTTACCCAAACCCTTAAAACAGGTGCCTCTGAGCCCTCTGAGGTATGACCTGCCCCACAGGTGTCCAGGGCCAGAGACCAGAGCTCCAGCAGAAGCAGGACAGTGTGACAGTGCGAACCTTCATCTCCAAGGACCACATGCATCTAAATTCTAAATCAGGGCCGTGTGGTCTAGCAAATTTTTTTAGGAACTTTGCTTATTTTCTAGGAAAATGTGTAATAAGTTAAAATCAAATGGCCTTTATGCACGTAATGAATTGCCTCTATTGAAAACAGTAAAATGTTATAAAGCAACACATCAAAGTCAATAAAAATATAGCCTATAAATATCTGAGTGGAAACCCTTCCAAGAAATGTTGGACTGACTCATGGTCCCATTCCAATCCTCAGAGTCAAAAGAAATGGAGCTGCAGAGAAAAGGGTGCATTGCACCTCTGGCCCCGACAGTGCTGCTGCTGGGAATGGCTCCAGGCAGCTTTGAGAAGGACTTTCTTGAATGCACATTTGGCAACACGAAGATCAGAGGACTGCAGACTATGAGACTGAAGGAAGCTCAAGAGATCCTCTAGTGATTCAACCTCCTCATTTTACAATGGAGAGAGCTGCGGAATCTGCACAGGGCACATGGCCCAACAGCAGCAGCAGCGACACTAATGAGGAGCCAGGTAGGTCCTGAATGCTTCACATACAGTGATGCATTTAATCCTGACAACAATTCTATTCATCCGTCCTTCACTCCACAAATATTTATTGAGCATTTCCTATGTGCCTGGCACTGTTCTTGGTGCTGGGGACATGGTGAGCGAAATAGGCAAAGACCCTTGCTCTTAGCACTAGCATACAAGGTGGGGATGGGGTAGACAAAGATAAATTAAAAAACAAATAGATGATGGTGATGATAGATAGATAGATAGATAGATAGATAGATAGATAGATAGATAGATAGATAGATAGATAGAGGCTGACAGGTAGATAACACAGTATATTAGAAAGTGAGAAGTGGCAGAGAGAGGCATAAAGCAGGGGAGAAGATCAAGAATGCAGGGAGGCAGAGTTACAATTTGAAACAGGATGGCTGGCACAGACCTTTGAGGTAACATTTGAGTAAGACGTAAAGGAAGTCACTACTATTCTGCACGTTTACCTTTGAGAAAATGGAACCTTCTAGCTTAGAATGCAAACTGTCTGCTCCACTTTCCTGGTTCTCCCAGAGAGCTGACTTCAGCCGCAGGCCACATCCTTTCTGCTCCCCCCACCAGTGTGGCACAGGGATCCTTCCCATGTGATCACTCAGTCCAGAGGGGATGCCCAAGTCTGTCATCTGCTCTTCCTCTGCCTTCTCACTTAGGGAGGCACCCAGCCCTTACTCCAGCTCCCAGGGAACTCCCACTCTGCATCCAGCAGGTGCCAGACCTGAGGGTTCCCATACTTTCCCCCAGGCAGACCACTAGGGGACCACTAGTCTTATTCCCTGAAGGTCCCTCAGACCTCTGGGAAGAGTTCCGGCTTGCAGATCTGGGCCAGTCAGAGGAGGGAGGAACAGCCATTATGTGAACTTGGAGGTCTTCAGCTTCCCCATCTGGAAAATAGTGATGATACATCAAACCAGAGAATGTGGGTAGGTTCTGATGAAATGTTGGTTTTATTCTTGCTCTGCTATGTGGTTTTTATCAGACACAGGTTGACCTATCAGGAGACCTTGCTGACCAAGCCACTTGACCCCTGTGGAAATTCCCTCCAGTTCATTTCAATAAGCATTGACTGCTTAGCACCAGGCCTCACAGTAGCTATTGGGAGGTGAGGGTAGGCAAAGAACAGAGAGGCAGGGACCCCACCCTGGAAGGATGGTCTAGGGTAGCAATAGGGAGGGACACTAAGGCATAAAATTCTTGGCTGGTAGTTCTCCTTTTTCCAGGAGAAGGTGCTACAGTGGCACAACACCTTTCCGCACAGCTGGCCTTGGAGACCTGGCCCTGTCCTCTGCCCTGCCCTCTCTCCTTGGAAGGAGATACCTGTATGCATTATTCTGCTGCCTCTGACTAACGCTTTCCTTTAGCTCTCTCCCCTCCAGCCCCATTCCCTGCCCCCCTCCCTCTAGCAATCTGGCTGCCCTCTGGCAGGATGCCTACTTGGACCCTGACCCACCACTCCTCCCCACTGAGCGGTTAGCAGCAGCAACTATACCCAAGTGTTCATTTGCCCTTGCTCACCTTCCCCTGAGCGGGACCCTGGGTCAGTCACCAGCTCCTTCCTACCCTGGTCATCTCCCACCTCTGGGTCATTTCCATCTGGAGTGGGGGGAGTTTTACATAAAAATATCTATCAGTCATGCAAAGGAGCTTGCACTTGGAGCAAGAATGAGGAGTAACAGAGATCCCATTACTATTTTGAAACTAAACTCGACTCTCTGCTACTCCCTCCAGCTGCCACTACACAATGCCTTGGGACTTCCTGAGGTTCCAGACTGGGAAACAGGCCTTTCAGAGCCTCTCTGCACCTCTTCCCTGAGTCTGCCTCATCAACCTCACTCCTAAATTACCTCCTCAGCTCCCTTTATGGAATCTCCGAGTTCCAACTTTTCTTTTTTTTTTTAAATTTATTCATTTATTTATACAAGCACTGGGTACAGTTAGAAGTGCGGGAGGGTGAGAGAATTCACCAGAGCCAGAGCGGGGAGCAGAACAGGCAGACCAATGAAGTACACTGCTGAGGGGAGCAGTGGGCGCGGCAGGAGAAGTCTGCGCACCATGTGGGACCCTCGCCAGTGGCCAGGGATCGAACCGGCGCTGCAGAGGCTGTGGGCAGCTTCGCAGCCCAGCGCTCAACCGCTACGCCACCAGGGAAGGCCCTCCAACTTTTTTATACCCTACTTTTGAGCTTCTCCATCACTCCGTGCACAACCAAGGGGCTTCCCTCTAGGTCTGAGGAGAGCTGGGACACGGACTACATACTCAAAGGTCAGGCCGGGCAAAGAGGAGACACTGAGTCCACCCCAAGGGAATGTCACCAGGGGAGATCCCTTGGGCCAGGCCTTACCTTTTCCAGAGCCTCTCCTTCCACCCCTACATCCAGTCCTCCATGAACCCAGACCATCAGGGTCATTCCCCTGGATGCACCCACAGCAGGTGCTTGATCAAGGGTGCTCCTGGATAGTGTAAGGGGAGTCCAGATAAGGAGGAAGGGCTTTTGCTTCTTGAGCCAAGAGAAAATAGTCCATGAGGTTAACTGTAGCCCCTGGTCCCCAGCTGGCCTCAGCCTACCCTTAGGAAGGTTTACAGGGGACTCTGCTGGTGGGGACCCCTGAGGCCCCCCATCTTCAGATGATCTGGGGCCTCTCAGTTGGATAATGGAGGGAGAGGGAAGCCAGGCACACGCTGCAGGGGAAACAGAAAATAAAAGTGAACAGGAAAGCTGAGGCGGGCCAAAGGATCATTGCTGACCCCACAGCAGGTCGGGGCTTCAGAGAGTTTAGAACCCTAAACCCAGGAGCCAGTGTTTCCCTTAGTCAAGGAGTTCGCTGTCCCTCCATGTCTTGTTCAGGACCAACTGGGGGCAGAAGAGTACAAAGCCCTGTTCTTCCCGCCGTTGTCATCTCTGTTCTCTCACGGCATCATCAAAAATCCAGGATTAGATGGAATGAGCACGGTGAGCAGCCTCTGGCAGAACCCCTGGCACCCTCACCACAAGATGCCTGAACCCTGCTCAATGCTGACTGGTCTGGGCAACGAGGAAGGCTGGCCCTACCTTCTAGGAGCTCCCAGGCCCGAGCAGCCGAGTCCTCTCTGGGATACCCTCTGTGCCCTCACAGCCATACCCAGACGACTCAAGGAAGCAGAAAATACCACCATCCCACCTGTTTTCAAAGAAGGATTTGACACAGCTTCAGTTCCTCTTGATTCACCCACACCTGTTTCCCCACAGTTCCCGAGTTGTCCTTGAGGGAACACTTTGGTGGCTCTGTGCCTGCACCTTTCCTGCCTGAATATACCCAGTCTTCTCATTGTTCCACCTGGTGGGAGGCTATTTTCAGCCCCTTTACCCTCATGGATTTCTCCAAAACAAGGCCCCCGGGCACTATGGCCCCCTGAAGTGTGGGCCCAGAGTGAGGGCCCCCGAAGCCATATTTGTGTGGGTTTCTCCTTCAAATAAAACCAAGCAGTGGAAATACCCACTGGGCTGTGGCTAACTTTTCCACAGTATTAAAGCAGCTGCCAACAGACCAGTGATGATGACAGGCAAGTAGGGCTAAAGCCCAAAGGAGACAAACAGGAGACCACCTGCACAGAGCTGGAGTCAAACATTCACAGAGTACATGAGGGTGAAGGAGAAGCTTACAACTGTGACCACGAGAACCCCGTATTCTGACAGCAATGTCGTTAATCCCTCCTGATCCATCTGAGAAGGCTTTCTGGGGGAGGTGAGATTCCAGAAGGTGTGAGAAAGGCAAACAGCAAGAAGTCTGGCACACTGGGGCCATCAGAGGGAGCCTGATAGACCCAGAACATTCAGAGCAATGAGTGTGGTATGCTTTGTGGAACATTCTTTGAGAACAGATGCATATGGAATCACAGCTCTTCCAGATACTACCTCTGTGTCCATGGACAAGTTACTTGCCAGTTCATAACCTCAGCTTCCATCCATAAAATGGATATAATACCTCTCAAATAGAGAATCTACATGTGTTCAATGAAACCATTCGTATGAAGCGTTTGGTACAGGACCTGGCCAGAAAGAGTGGCCATTATAATATGATTATACATTGCTAAATTTTATTGAACAGAATTAATTTAATACTCTAAGTAGATATGGAGACTAAACTATATGCCCAAAGAAAGGAGCCTTTGGCTGGCAGTTTGGTGGGAAAAGCTCTGGCCTAAGATTTGGGACAGGACTTTTGTAGTGGCTCTGTTACTTCTAAGTGGGGCAACATCTTCCCAGACGGCCCCTAGAACTCAGCTAAAAATCAGGTCCCTTTCAATTTGAGAGCCTATAGGTGTCTGTGTAGAGAAATGTGGCACAAGAGATCAATAAAGGAGATCAGGTGGTCAGCAGCTCCTTACCAAAGACCCACGAAACAGAAAAATCTGAAAGAGAAATGGAGTCAGTTCGAGAAAGAAGAAAATGGCTCCAAAGGTTGCTAAGAAAGACAAGAATAGATGGATGGTTAGAAGCCAGAAAGAAAGCAAAACCAGGTGCAATGAGCAATAAATAAAATATATGAGAAACTGTGTATATCCTTTTTCATGGTTAAAAATAAAAAAGAACACCAGAAAATAATAACTCACATTTGCAAAGCACTTGCACATATATTATTTCACTTTGTCCTCAGAACAGAATTACATGTGGTTATTAACTCTCTCCATTTGGCAACTAGGAAGCAAAGACTCAAAGAAATAAAATTCACTTTGTCA